GGGGACTAGAGGGATGGAAACTAACAAGTGGCGGAAATAGAATGGAAAGCTGAGGCTGAAGAAAGAAGGGTATGAGGAGCCAGAGAAGAGAAAGTGCAAGTCCCAGTCACTGGAAGTGTTCCAGTGAGCTGCCAAACCTTAAGGGCCAAGGGTTCCAGATACTCTTGGCCTGAGAATTATAATACTAGTCACTGTAGGTGCTGAGGATCCCAATACCCAAAGCCCCCTCAGGATCTGTAACAGTAGCAGTTGCTGTCTACTGCCTGCTGCTAATTTGCTTATAGATGCTGGAAGTTGAGGATTACAGTATCTTCCAAGTGCCAGGGCTACTGGTGGTTAAAACCCAGAGCAGTAAGCCTCCAAGCTGAGTGCCTAGAGCTGTAAGTCTGGTTGCTAAAGCCTGGAGCAGTAGGCCCTTAGCTCTCAGGGCTTGGGGTTGTAAACCTCTGGATCTAGAGTCCAGTCCCTAGGACTTGGGTGCTGAAGGGCCCAGGACTGCCAACACTGGAAGAGCTTCTCCTGAACATGATTTCTACATGGGTAGAACAAAAGGACCCTAGCCAGCTGAATGCCCACAGGGTAGTGATTGTTGTCTTTGACTGGTTACTATAACATAGTAGAGGTTTTGTAGCATTTGTGAACCTGCAGCTGAGCTCTTCCCTGGAGAACCAAACAGAGCAGGAGGAGGGGCCCTCAATCCACCTCCTGGTTTGACTCACCACATCCCAAGACACCATAAAAAAATAGCTCAAGAACTTGTATTTGGGTCATTCTGACCATTTCAGCATTTGTCCTGAAAACTAACTTTTCCAAGGTCTTTTTCTAAGATGAAGAAGCAAGAAAATTTCTATTGCCTGTTTTCTTACTCTGGAAAAAGACTTTAAACAAATTCTTTCTCTGTTTCCGTTGGGAGGGACAGAGCTAGATATAGGTCTTGGAACTCAACTTCTATTGGTGCTTATAATGCAGTAAACAAGATTGATTCCCAGTGGGGCACATGTGAACTCACTCAATGGGACCATGAACCGTGAATCCCTGGACAGCAGCTTGCAGCCTTGCTGCCTCAACCTGACCATGAGTACTGAATTTCTGATTTGTTCAGAGCCTGTTCTGGGCCAGGCACTGTGCTAGTTACTGGTGGCACAGAAAGGTGTAAGATAGGGTTCCTTCAAAGGCCCATTCTCAACAACAAGAGACAGCCTGATAAGCTTGGAGTTACATACTGGCAACCCTGGGCCAGTTCCCACTCTAAAGCCCAACTTATTTGTGCCACAGAATAGTGATTGACTGCTTTGTCTCTTTATTGAATTTGCTTTAGGTGCGATGTTCTTTCTTTCATTTCTTTCCTTTTTAAATTTTATTTATAAAGAAAAGAGGTTATATCTGGGCATGGGGGCTCACACATGAAATCCCAGCTACTTGAGAGGTAGAGATAGGGAGGATCATGGTTTGAGGCCAGCCTGAGCCAAAAAGTCCCCCAAAAGTAAAACCCTATTTCAATGAAAAAAGATAGGTGTGGTGGCATGCCCTGTCATCCCAGCTATGTAGGAAACTTAAGTAGGAGGATCCTGGTCCATGCCAGCCAGGGCAAAATAGCAATACCCTACCTGATAAAATAAAGCAAAAGGGTTGGGGGCATGGCTCAAGTGGTAGAGTGCCTGCCTAGCAAGCATAAGGTGCTGAGTTCAAATCCCAGTACTGCCAAAAAGTAGCTTATTTTGAGTCCCTAGGCAGTGCAGGGAGTCACATGGTAGGAGAAAAGGAGTTTGTGTGTGTACGTGCATGTGAGAGACAGAGATCCTTTTCTGGTTGTCACTGGGTCCCACCCATCTCATGCTCCCTGCCTAGCTCTCAAAGGCATCTAACAAGGCACACTTGACTAAAACAGGTGACACACTCTGGTGTGAGCAGCTACAGAGGCAGGGTCAGAGGCTCTTGGAACATGAGAGAAAGAGGATTTGATTCTCCCTAGAGCTGGAGCATGGGCCTGTGGTCTCAGCTGTCATGGGGTCCTGAAAAATAGGTAGGAGTGCATCCAAATGCTAAGATGGATGTAGCCCAACCTGAAAAAGGAGATGACAAAGGTGATACTGCCTGGTCAGAGTGTGGGGATTTGAAGGCTAGTGTAAGCTACAGTCTTTAGGTGTGGAGCTTAGAAAAAAGAAGCCTCACCCCTGTTCTCCATCATGAAGATCAAAGATAGGCCTGCAACCCAGGACTGAACTCACCTGGCTGACCCTGCTGAGTGGGAGAGGAGAGGCAGTGTTCTTTTCCAAGCATGCACACTCTGGGAGCCCTTTCCTGCCCTCACTAGGGTCTAAGCAGTGCTCTGGGTCCAGTAGATGCTTCTGAACTTGACTCCAGATATCAGCAGCCTGGAGAATTTCCCCTATAGACTGAGTGCAAGATCAGAAAGCTTGGCCAGTAACAGTTTGACAAGTCTGGAGTGTGCCAGGTGGGAGGACACGGAACCAAGCACCACAGCAAGCCAAGAGAGGGGGACCTGGTGGTGGTTTCAGCTTGGCAGGTGTTATCAGCTGTTTAAGGCCAATTATGTACCCTGGACAATGAAAAAAAGACTCTCAGCCTTGTCAGTATTCAAATGAGTCCATTGTGAGCTGTCTCTGTAGCTGGGACCTGAGGTCTTAGCTAACAGATGGAGACCAGACCAGGGAAGGCAATAGGCTCTCAGGATGACCTAGCACTGTGCTAGGTCCTGAGCAGATAGCAGAAAACCAGACAGACCACAGTCTTTCCCTTGTGAAACTTAATTAACAGAGTGAGTAAACATTAAAAAATGCACACGTGTGCATGCATTCTTGTGTGTGTTAGGTCAGGTAGTAAAGTGCACTGAAGAGAAAAACTGGAGTGAGGTCTGGGCTGGGAGTGTAGTTCAGTGGTAGAATACTTGCCTAGCATGTGAAGGGTCCTGGAGTTTCTTCCCAAGCACTGCAGAGGAGAAGAGAAGAAAGAAATTGGATTCTCTCTCTCTCTCTCTCTCTCTCTCTCCCTTTTTTTGGTTGTACCAGGGTTTGAACTCAGGGCTTTGTGCTTGTGAGGCAGGCACTATCACTTGAGCCATGATGCCAGATTTTTTTTATGTGATTATTGCTTTTTTCCCAGGCCAGCTTGGACTATGAGCCTGCTAATTTAGGCTTCCTGTGTTAGCTGAAAGGTCAGGCATGTACCACTACACTCAGCTTTTTTCTTTTGAGATGGGGGTCCCAAGAACTTTTTTTTTTGCCCAGGCTGGCCTTGGACGACAACCCTCCTGACCCCATGTAGTATGGGATGATAGGCTTGTGCCACCGCACTCACCTATTGGTTGAAATGGGATCTTGCGAACTCCCTGTCTGGCCTGACTTCAACCTGTGATCCTCCCACTCAGCCTCCCACCTAGTTAGGATTACAGGTGTGAGCCACTGGTGCCTGGCTCTTTTTCTGAAACTTATTATCCTGCTCTCTTAGGCTACTTCCATAGTTTTATTTTCTCTCTTTTCCATCTTTTTGCATTTCTCTACTTTGGAGAGTTCTCCAACTTTGTCTTCCGTTATGTTGTATTTTAAAATTTGTTAATATTTTTAATTTCCATATTTTCTTTCTGAGTGCCACTTTCCCCCTACCCCTACCTTTAAAAGACAGTATTCTGGGGTTAGGGGTGTATCTCAGTGGCAGAGCACATGCCTAGCATGCACCAGGCCCTAGGTTCCATCCCCAGTGCCACACCCACACCCCCCATCCACCGACACACACATACACATACTCACCACACACAGTCGTCATCATCATCATCCTCTGTTCTTGTTTCGTGGCTCTTTTCTGGAAGAAAAGAGTATTAATGATTGTTTCTCAGTTTTTGCTTCTGCAGAGTTTGTTCCCTCCAAGTTGCCTTTTTCCTGTTGGTTCGACTGTGTGTCTTTCATGTTTTATGCCTTTATCTTCTGGATCTTAGATTTGTGAACCTTCCGCCTCACCCCCACTGCCCTGTATGAGCTGGTGGACCCATGCACTACAGAATGTAGGACCTGATTTTGTTAGAGCTTCTCAAGCCAAGGTGTAAATAGGAAATGTCAGGAAAATAGGATCTAACTTGGCACCTTGTAGCCCAGAGCTTTAACACTCAGACTTCTCCCTGCCCTGGCTGGGAAAATGGAGTCACATCCACATTGCCAGCATTGGGGAAAAAGATGTACCCAGAGTGCTTGTGCTGCTAAGGAGGATGACAGGCCTGTAGTTCAGTGCAGACTGTGGGCTGGTGTCCATGTTCAGAGAGCCCAGGCACGTGGAAGGTGTGGGTCTGCCCCACGCCCACCCACCTAGCCTCTTCCTCTCCAGATCTGAGATCTATCCTGCAGACCACTCCTTCTAAAGGAAGCCAGCAAAGCTCCTCCACATTTGGGCACCTCCACAGCTCATGCCCAGCCAGGGGGCTTAGCAGAGGGCACCGGCAGGCTTTTGTTAAATGAAGACATGGTGGGAAAAGACCCCAGATCCCTAGCTTTGGCCAAGCTGGGTCAGCTGACAGAAGCAAGGGAGTACTCTACCCATCACCCCTACAGGCACCTACTGCCCCAGCCTAGCCTCCTCATCACCAGGCCACAGACGTATTGGGAAATTCTAATGCTGAAGGGGCCTTATGCATGGCCAGGACTTGGTGAACTTACAGGGAAGGGATCCCTTGGCTGTGAGCCCAGTGTTGAGGTGAAAGTGGGCCCACAGCAACCCAGTTCAGAATGTATCCATTGCCCTTCGTCTTCTTTTCCTAGGGACTCTATAGAGTTCAAGACAAGCTATCTGCCTTCTCTTCACATCTTCCTTTCTTCCTAACTGTTGGGCCACTGGGTTGCTTTCTAAGGGCTTGGAAGGCCTGACTATGTGTCACTTGACTCCTTAGACCCCAGTGGAACTGCTGCTCTGGGCATGGGTGTGTGGGGTCACCCTCCCTGTCCCTGTGCTCGGCATACAGCATGGGATTCACCCAAGGTTCCCTCTTTCTTTAGCTGCAGATCTGGGACACAGCCGGCCAGGAGCGGTTCCGCACCATCACCCAGAGCTACTACCGCAGTGCCAACGGGGCCATCCTTGCATATGACATCACCAAGAGGAGCTCCTTTCTGTCAGTGCCTCACTGGATTGAGGATGTGAGGAAGTATGCTGGCTCCAACATTGTGCAGCTGCTGATTGGTGAGCTGGTGATCCAGACAGCCAGGAGGGTCCTCGGGACCATGAATTCCTTCTCTTATATCTGCCTTCTTTTCAAGTACAGTTACAGCCTGAGTGCAGGGAGGCTGGAGCTTGACTAGGCATGGAGGGAGTTATGGTTTGAACTGTAAATCCTGATCCTACTAACCACTTTCAAAATTGGATTCAAAGCTGGAATTAGAGGACAGAAGAAAGGGAGATGAAATTTGCCTTATAGTTTCTGTGTCTTAGTCTGCTTTCTGATGCTAATAATGCAACACCACACACTATGTACGTAGTAAACAAAGGAGGGTTATTTTTGCCTCATGGTTGAAGAGGTCCAAGGCCAAGGGGCTGTATCTGGTGATGGCTTCTTTCTGGCAGCTCCAGTATGGTGCAGGATACCACATGGTAGAAAACAGGAAGCCACATGTGTCTGCTGTCTCTCTCATAAAACCACTGGGATTCAATCATGGGGCTTCACCCTGATGACCTTATCTAATGCTAATTACCTGCCCCACTAAACACCAGAGTTGGACCAAGCTTCTATCCTTTTATACCTCACAATGGCAATTAAACTCCAGCGTGGGTTTCTGAGGGTACAGATCACATTCAAACCATGGCACCAAGCATCATACATTGGCACTGAAGTGTCAGAGAGGATGTGTGACCTAGCTCTCATAACCTTGGCTCTTCCCTTTTGAAGGATGGGGTGAGGCTTAGAGGAGTGGAGTGATTTATCCAAGGTCACACAGCCTTTTATCACATAGCTATGAGTTTTGAGTTGAGTTTTGCTGACTGCAATTCAGTGACCTACTCTGTCCTACTATGCTACAGGTGCTCAATCATTTGTGGGTTTCAGAATCACTCTGAAGGTTTGTTAATTACAGATGCTGGGCCTTGTTTCTGGAGGGTCTTGTTCAGGAGGGTGGGTGAGGCCCATGGATGTGCATTTCTAACCATTTCCCAGGTGGAAACCCCATTTTGTGAGTCACTGCTGCAGATGAGTGCTGTCTTCCTCCATTGCCCCTTTTTCCTATCACGTGAAATTCCCAGACCTGGGCTTGAGAAGCTTTTTAGTATTTGTGTGGTCCCCAGGGTCCTCACTCTACAGTCAGGCTGAATCTTCTGACTCATATGCACAGATAGGGCCTGACTGTAGCTCTAGCCACAGAAAAGGACAGCATGTAGGCCCTCGTAGCCTGCTTTTTGTGTACCTGCCTTCCACGGGATGTGGAGCATTCTGACTCACACTGCCCTAATAGGAGCATTTCTGTCCTTACCTGGCCCAACCACTTCCCTTTTACCTAGGACATTTCTAGAAATCATTTTACTCAGGAGATTTCTAGAAAACATTCTATTAAAGCACATTTTATACAGTATAAAAATAGAATAGTATAATGGGCCCAAGGAACCCATCACCCTGCTTCAGTAATTAGCAACTCATATCTACCTTTGTTACTCCTTTCCCTTATAGTATCTTTGGACCAATCTCAGATTCTAAACCAGTTCATCTGTAACTATTCCAGCATAAATTTATAAGTCAAAAATACTTAAAACTATTTAAGAATACTATTTTTCACATCTAAAAATATTCATGTTTCCTAACCATGAATGGTGTCATGTATTTGTAGTTCTAGCTACTCAGGAGGCTGAGGCAGGAGGATCACTTCAGCCCAGGGCTTCAAGGCTAATCTGGGCAGCATAGTGAGATCGTCCCCAAAATAAAAAGCAAAAAGTCTTGAAAATATTAACGTTTCCCTATGGGTATCAAATAGCTGGTCTGTATTCAGATTAATAATTGGTTCTTAGTGTTACATGTGGTTCTGTTTTTTTTTTCTTTTTTTTTTTTGGGGTGGGGACTGTACTGGTTCTTGAACTCGGGGCCTCACACTTGCGAGGCAGGCACTCTACCACTTGAGCTACTCTACCAACCCTTTTTTTAGTGATGGTTTTTTTTTTGAAATAGGGTCTTGAATGTCAGTCCTCCTGATCTCTGCCTCCCGAGTAGCTAGGATTATAGATGTGCGCCACCACACCCAAATTTTTTTCTAGTTTTTTGAAATCAGGATCCAGTTTTCTCCATGATGAAATTGGCTACTGTTGGTTTAATGTTACAAAGTTTAGATTTTTACTTACTTTTTTGGCCTCTCTATAATCACATTACAAATATTAACTATTTAGAGACTAAAAAAATACTAGTGAAAACCCCTTCGAGGAGGAGCCAAAGGTATATTTTTAGGTAAAGTGGTAGCCTGTGTCCTTACTCTCAGACAAACAAACTTATCAAAACTCTCAGGGCTGAGGGCCTAGCTCAGTGGTAGAGCTCTTGTCTAGCATGGCGAGGCCCTGGCACCATGAAGAAAAAGAGAAGATCTTACAAAGAATAAAAACATTACCAAGGAAATAGATGAGAACAAATAATTACAACTTTTAGCAAAAAACCCAAAACAAAACAACAAAAAACCCCACCAGATTTCTTCAGCATTTGTGTAGTGCCTGCCTGGTGCTAATGGATGATGTTTTTATTCCCTGCTCTGCTCTCCTGTGCTGAAGGTGGCATGAGAGACCTAGAAACCAAGACCCAGAGATGAAGTGATTCACCCAATGGTCACATGCAAGTATAGGAGGCTGGAGCTCCACCCAGGTCTTCCAGCTCTAAGGCACCTGTGCTTCTCTCCAAACATTCCTATTTCTCATTCTTAGAAGAAGCAGTGAGGATGGGGATGCAGCTTGGTGGTGGAGCACTTGCCTACCATATATGAACTCTGGGTTCCATCCCCAGCACTGCAAAGGGAAAAAAAAAAGCAACAAAGTGAGAAAACAAAAGACTGACAAATAGAATAAGAGCTTTAAAATAAAAAGGCAGTCTGGTGTGGGGGTACACCCTATAGTTCAGCTACTCAAGAGGTTGAGGCAGGAAGATCTCTTGAGCCCAGGAGTTTGAGGTCAGCCTGGGCAACAGAGTGAGAACCCATTTTTTTTTTTTTTTGGTGGGACTGGGGTTTGAACTCAGGGCCTCATGCTTTCTAGGAAGGCACTCTGTCCCTGAGTCACTCCACCAGCCCCAAGAACCCTTTTTTTTTTTTAAGTAACTAAATGTGATGGTTTATGTCTATAATTGTAGCTACTTGGGAGGCAGAGAGATTTGATGCCAGCCCAGGCAAAAAGTTCTTGAGACCCTATCTCAAGCTGTAAAAAACTGAGTGTGGTCATCCCAGCTCCATAGGAAGCATAAATAGGAGGATCATGGTCCAGAGCAGCCAGGGCATAAACAAAAGACCCTTTGTGAGAAATAATCAAAAAGCAAAAAGGGCTAGGGGTGTGGTTCAAGTGGTAGAGTGCCTGCCTATCAAGTGCAAGGCCCTGAGTTCAAACTCCAGTATCATCAAAAAAGAAAAGAAAAGAAAGTGGTTAAAATAAGAAAGGCTAATTTAAGAAAGATAAGTTCCTATGCTCAGGTGTGTTTATCTGTACCTGGCAGAAGGGAGTGCATGTGTGGAGCTCTCAGTGTGGCTGAGTTTATGTGGCACCTGTTGGTCTCACCGTGCTACCCTGGCCTTTCTCCACAGGAAACAAGTCGGACCTTGCTGAGCTCCGAGAGGTCCAGCTGGCTGAAGCACAGAGTCTAGCCGAGCACTATGACATCCTATGTGCCATTGAGACTTCTGCCAAGGACTCCAGCAATGTGGAGGAGGCCTTCATGAGGGTGGCCACCGAGCTCATCATGAGGCATGGAGGCCCCATGTTTAGTGAGAAGAGCACCAACCACATCCAACTGGACAGCAAGGATATTGGGGAGAGCTGGGGCTGTGGATGCTGACCAGGGTGCAGGGCAGGCAGGGCAGGGGCTTCCCAATCTCTTTTCTCTCTGGCCTGCCAAGCCCAGCCCTCCAGGGCACCAGCCATTCTAGAGCTGCTGGGTAAAGCCCTGGGATTCTGCATCCCTGGCCTGGATGCCTAGCAGAAATGGAGAAGCAGGACACCCTTTGTAAGGAGGCCTGTGGGCACAGGGCAGGGCCCATCCTGCCAGGCAGCTGTGTCCCTCCACATTCTTCACATTCCAGGACTGTGGTAGGAGAGGGGCCAACATGTGCCTCTTAGGTCTCCAACATGCAAATTTTGCTCATCTTCTACCTTGACTGCTGCTTTCCAGGGACATGCTGGTGCCCCGGATTCTTACAGGTCATTCTGGGGCCTCCATCTGGAGCACAGAGAGCAAGATCAACCAGACCAATAGACTGGTGCCTGAGCACCACCCCAGGGAAGGCTGAGCTCACCCAGGTGGAAACGACTGCCTTCCTTCACTGCCAGGTTGGAGCTCACAGACAACTCCTTGGCTCACTGCCTTACCAAGACCTCTTGGGTTTTTCTGGTTTTCCATGTAGCTTCTCGTTTGGATGGGCACAAGTGTGGGGTCATGGCTCATGACCAGCTGGGGACTGTGCTGGCTTGGGGCCCAAAATTTTGCCAGGCAAGTTGCAAAAAACAGCTGATCTTTCAGCACTTGCTCTTGGAAGTTAGAGAGTAGTGGGATGAGATAGGAAAGTGAACATTCAAGGTAAAAGAAGGAGGTGGGGGGGTGTACTTTATGCTTAGCATGTGCGAGACCCTGGGTGCAATCCTTAGCACCAAAACAAAACAAAAAAAGAAGCAGCTTGTATTGTATTGCTGATATCTGAGGGCTGGGCACCCTGCCTTACTCCATGTGCAGAAATCTTCCCTGCCCTGATCAGGAGTACCTGTCCCCCACTGGTTTTGAGAGTTTCTCAAAAAAAGTGAGGCCCTGATGGTCCTTGGCCTGAGGGATTGCCTCAACTGTGCCAGGTGCTGAGGTTAGAAGTTAGAAGGTATGTGCTATTCTCTGGGTGAGGGCTCGCAGTGATTGGTTGAGGGGAACTCTGGGGAACCAGAGATCTGCCCAAGCCAGGTCCTTCATGTTAGCCCAGTTTTGTCCTGCCTTCTTCAACATGGGCCTCCCAGAAATAAACTTTCAGAACCATGGGTGTCAGTCATGGTCCAGATCCCCAGCCAGAAGGGCCATGTTCAGCCCAGTACAGGGGCAGGGACCCTAGACTGCCCTTGCTTCCACTCGAAGCACTTAGTTTGTCAGCCCCCTTTCCCAGGAGGACATGCAGGCCAGAACCTGCATTGAGGGGTTGCTCCATGTAGGGATGATGCTCACTGTGCTTGTGGCAAGGGTGAGAGCTGCATGGGGCCTGGGCCCAGCCTGCTGCTTTCAACTTGCGGGGAAAGCTGGTGCCTTCCCCAGCCCCTGTATTGCAGAGCCTGGGCCCACCCTGCAGGGTAGACAGTGCCTAGCACCAAGGGTGCCCTTTAGGCCTTGTGAGGTCCTCAGACCCATCTGGGACTGGGTGTACCATGAATAGAGCTTCCCTCTAGCCCCACAACTTCTGTGGACTGTTTTGGGGGTTACATAGTCAGGAGGGGCAGAGCTGAGCTTTCATTGTAGGTCCAGGCTGGAAGAGAACTGGCATGAAGCCTGACGCTATCTTGTTGATGCTGGGAAACTTGCCAGGAGTCTTGGTCCTGCATTCAGTGCTCAAATGGAAGCCCCAGTTCTAGGACAAGTCTGGCCATCTGAGCACAAGTACTGACTGCCCACTGCTACCTGCTGCCTACTTCTGAGAAGCCTTGCTGTCTGCTGCAGGCCTGGGGCCTCCTAGGGATGGGCCCTACCAGGACAGTAGGGGCCCTCAACTCCCCAGGGTCTATGGGAGGGAAGACAGAGGCCACTTGATCTACAGGGCCCTCCACCATATCCTTTGCAGGGATGGTAGTGGATGTGATGGAGCAAACTTGTCACCTTGGGCCACCACCCTTCCAACCTCCAAGTGCTGGAGGTCTGAAGCCTGCAAAGTGAGGAGAGAACCACTGGGCCAGCTTGGGCCCAGGAAGCCCTTCTCGCTAGTGGCCTGTTTGCTCATCCAGCAACCCAGGAAGGCCTATCTACTTCTTCCCCTTTCTTGATCCCAAGAAATGTGGGTTAGGTGAATCCCTGCCTTCTGTGAACATGGATAGGAGCACACTTATTCCAGGAGGTTAGCCTAGACATCCAAGTTTACCTTGGACTCCCTGCTTTCTCCCTCTGCTCCCCTGCTACCACCTGGCCTTCTGCCTGGCTTCTTACCTGAATACCTTGCTGTCCTCTGGGTTCCAATTCTATTGTCAGGTGGCAGGTCTGAAAGGTCATACCAGGTCCAGGGCCCTGAGGATGTCCAAGCTCTGCCTTGCATCTTTACCCCAGCACCCTCTGTCTTGTGTGGGACAACCTGGCCTCTCAGCCCTCACTCCGCCCCCGGTCCCTCTTCCTTTACCATCCCTGACCTTTTATTCATGTGACTTAGAGTCCCACAAATGACCAGCGGTAGATCTGAGGAGAACTGGCCCCTCCTTGACCTCAGGTGTCACCCCCTAGAACAGGTTCTTTCCTTAACCCTAACCCCATGACTTGCAAGTTTCCCCAGAATCTTGAGCTGAAGCCATTTCTACTACCACCTGTTCTCATACACTAATGCGAGGGGCAAGAGGCTTAGGCCCTCTGTGGGGGCATCTGCCTTGCTACATCATATGAGGAGAACTCTGATCCTCCAGGCCTTAGGCCTCTGTCAAAGGAGACCTGGGTTTGAGTACTAGAAAATGGGGAAATGTGACAGAACAAAAACAACCTCTGTTTCCTTCCCTGTGGCAACTTGGCAGGCCCCCAGCAGCCCAGGCCTCTGGGACAAGAGAACAGCTTAAATCTCTTCCTTTGTTTATAAATTACTCAACAGTAGCAGGGCAGGTGGAGAAAGGTGGCCAGGAGAGAGCAGGGGGAGGTAGGGGAGGACTGGGGTGGTGCTCTGCAGGAAGAGGAGAGAGTACAGGGAGAGGCGGAAGTGTAGAGGAGTAGGGAAAAGAGAAAGCAAGGGGAGCATCAGGAGGCTTGGAGGGGAGGAACAGCTAGAGGAGGTCTGGGAGGCCAGGTGACATGGGCTTGAGCTGAGAGAAACTGCCATTTTTGCAGCCGGAGTGAAGCAGGGAGGGACATGGATCCTGACCCCCAAACCAGAGAGGAGACTCTAGTCCTCCCAGGAAGGGAGTTGGCCCCAGGGACAGGCCCCTGTGGGTAAGAAGCTGGAGGAAGCTCTCCATTTTCACATTGAGCTCAGTTTCTCTCCCTCCAGGAGCACTGCCAGGACTGGGGCTCCTCCAGCCAGACCCTCACCCTCAGGGCCTAGAATGGGGAGGAGGGGCGGGGCTCAGCCAGCCCAAGAATGCATTTATTTTGGGAAATTTTCATGTTACCTATTTATGAGTATATAAATCTTTATATCAAGTCTATTTTTTAAAACACGGAAATTGCCTTTATGGAGACTTTGCAGAGCCATGGTGTGTACACATTCCTCAACCATTAAACAGATTTCTATACTGAGACAACAGCACATCAGACTGGTCCTCTCACCTTTGAGCCCACAGCTAGTCCAGGTGCCCACCTGCCCTGCCCAGTGGCCTCCCTGGATTAGTCTCCAGGCTGGGGGAGGCAGGTAGGCACTGCCAGTCCCTGCCTGGAGCCTTGCTGACATCTTCCTTTGGGTTCCAGCCTGAGGCCCCTGAGCAAGAAGCAGCCTAAGGGCAGTAGGGGCCTGCCAGGGGCGCCTGTGTGGTCCTGGGAAAGTCACTGTCCCTTTTTAGACCCCAGGCGTCTTCATCTAGGGTTGTATTGGGGAGGTCTCAGGTGCCCAGCCATGAGGGAGGTATGGTTCCCTGCTTTTTCAGATGTACAAGGGCTCAGGCTGCCTTACCTGCTGAAGCCTGGCAGCCTGGGGGAAGCAGAACTGTCATTCAGAGTCAGGAGCTGAGAGCCCCATGTGGGTGTACACGGCTCCTGCTCTGTTCCCAGCCAAGAGCAGTGCCAGGCTATGGCTAGTGCTCAGGGTTTGGTGAGTGCCTGAATCAGGTGCCCATGAGCTGGGTGCCCACTCTGGTAACCTGGGCTGGTTCCCTGTCACTTAGACAGGGATCCTATGATGAAAGGGGCTTTCAGGCAGCAGGGCTGCTATCCTGCCTCCTCGAGGGAGAAGAGGAGGCCAGGAGGGAGACCACCCCCACGCCTGACAAACCAATTCTGACACAGACTGGCATGACAGGGTCAGACCAGCCTCCATCAAGACCCAGGTCTGCCCTGACTAGTGTGACTCCTAAGTCACAAGTCATTTTTCCTCCCTGGCCCCAGTTTTAAGTGAGAGCTCTCACTTGGCTGGGCCTACATCCCAGAAGACCTCATGGGACCTGGGGAAGGGGTTTAGAGCACTGCAGTCCTGGAGTCCTCGGGTCTCAGGGTGGGCTCTCTCTAGGCACATGCCCTCCTCCCAGGGAGAAGGAACACCTGATGTGGGAACCTCCTGCTCTCCTCTCGATGCAAGGAAGAAGCACCATAGCCCACTGTGCCCCTCAGAAGACAAATCTGAGTCTGCCTAAACCTGACCACCTATTTCATGGCTGCCACATCAAGGCTGGTGCTTGGGGACCTCTTCTGCAGCCCACGGTGCCCTTCAGCAACTGACCTCATGTGAAGGATTCTGTTTCATATTACATTCAAAGAAATTTGTTCCTCAGCACAGTAACAGCCACATCTGTTGTATTTTGGTCCTCCAGCTTGCCAAGGAAGCTCCAGGGTCCTGCTAGTCAAGGGACCCAGGAGACAAGGCTGAGGAGAGGTTGTGAGCCCAGGCTACAGTTAGCTCCAGAAGCTGGGAGTAGAACCAGCTGCCTTGCTGCCCTTCATGTGGTCCACAGTCATCTCAGGCATCGCTAGGAGCTTATTCAAAATGTGGAGTTGGTGGTGCCAGTGATTCACGCCTATAATCCTGTCTATCCAGGAGACAGAGATCAGGAGGATCTGATGGGGTTCCTAGCCAGCCCGGGGAAATAGTTTGGTTAACCTATCTCAAAAAGCTCATCACAAAAAAAGGGCTGGCAGAGTGGCTCAAGTGATAAAAGTGCCTGCCTAGCAAGCATGAAGCCCTGAGTTCAAACCCCAGTGCTGCTAAAAAAAAAAAAAAAAGAGAAAGGAAAAGGGAAATTCAGCAGCCAACCCATTCTTGAGCCACAATGGGATTTAACAAGCTCCTCTTGGGGGTCACATGCATACAGTTTGAGGATCACTGGTCCGCACAGCCTAATTACCTCCCCCCACAACTTGGGTCAGGATTTCTTAGTTCTTCCATTGACCTGAAGAATCCTCTCCATTTATCTCTGGATGGAGTGTCTTTTCTTCCCTCATCTAACTGTGGACATCAATGGCAAAGGGCTCAAGGTTTGCTCCTTGGTAAAGCTCAGAGTCTAATCCGTCACCAGAGATCTGTCTCTGTGACGGGAGTCATGGTCCACCTGCCTAACACCCAGAGCCACTGTCATTCAAACTCTACTCTTGGTGGAGTGGCTCAAGCAGTGGAACACTTGCCTTGCAAATAAGTGCAAAGCCCAGAGTTTGACCACCAATGCCACCAAAAAAGAAAAAAAAAAAGTGTTTTTGGTCTGGCAGAGTGGTTCAAGGAGAAAGAACACCTGCCTAGCAAGTATGAGGCCTTAAGTTCAAGCCCCATTACCATCAAAAGCCCCCAAAAACCCAAAAAAACCTAAATATAGGCTCTGTATGTGAGCAATACTTATGGGCTGGTGGAGTGGCTCAAATGGTAGAGCAACTGCCTAGTAGGCCTGAGGCCCTGAGTTCGAACCCCAGTACCATCAAAAGCCCCCAAAAAACCAAAAAAACCTAAATATAGGCTCTGTATGTGAGCAATACTTATGGGCTGGTGGAGTGGCTCAAATGGTAGAGCAACTGCCTAGTAGGCCTGAGGCCCTGAGTTCGAACCCCAGTACCATCAAAAGCCCCCAAAAAACCAAAAAAACCTAAATATAGGCTCTGTATGTGAGCAATACTTATGGGCTGGTGGAGTGGCTCAAATGGTAGAGCAACTGCCTAGTAGGCCTGAGGCCCTGAGTTCGAACCCCAGTACCACCAAAAACAAAACAAACAAACAAACAAACAAACAAAAAACTCTACCCTATCTGGAAAGTCAAGTAGTTCCTCATCTTTTCTGAATCCCTGATCACTGTGAGCTGTAGAACCTTTCATCAGAAAAGATACTGATGCACAAATACATCCAAACTATGGTGCATTGTTAGTGGTTAGTAGACATTTGGGTGAAGACTGCCTGATTTCCATGTCTAGGGTCTTCAAACTTCTATTCGAATGGTGATTACAGCCACACAAGATGATGGATTCGAATACAGATTGGCAAGTCTCCACAAGCCTGTGTTGTTCTCAATATGCAATGTGAGTTCATAAGAGAGTTTAGGTGCTTTTCCTTAAATCACACATCTAGTAAGTGACAGAGATGAGATTTTAGCCCTGGCCATCTGGCTCTGGGGTTTGTGCCTTAATGCCTCCAGCTCTTAAGGGTAGACATTGGCATTTGTGAGTGAAACTGCCTGTAGCAGAGATCACCATGTGCTCAGGGGTAGACTGTGTTAACAGTAACGCTTCAGTCTGTGACACGGATGGGTCTTAAAAACTGTACTGGAGTAGTCATGGGGCCTTTCCTCATTGCAGTGCACTTTAGACACATCTGTTGACATATGGATCCTAGGATACCCAGAGGTCATCTCCCAACCAACAGATTGGGGATATGGGTCTTTTCTACATGTTCCAGACATCTGTAATAAATACACATTACATTTTGTGATTAATCTCGATTGTCAACTTGATTGAATTGGGAAACGCTTAGGTTAGCAAAGCTCACCTCTGCTAGTATCTGTGAGGGCCTTTCTAGCTGGCTCTGACCTAATCAATGTATTCAATTGTGACGTGAAGGCATTATTGGGAGGTGGTGACAGGCAGGAGGTGGGGCCTGGTAGAGGAAGTGGTCACTGGGGAGGGCATGTCCTTGGGGAATATGTCTTGCCCTGGAACCTTCCTGTCTCTCCTTTTCCTCTGCTTCCTTTCTGGCTGCTATGATGTGAACTACTCAGCTCCACCATGATGGACTGAACCCGCTGAAACTGAGCAGAATAAACCCATCTTGCTTGAGGCTGCTTTTCTGGGGTAGCGGTCACAGCAACACAAAAGCCTGGTAATACACATTCATAACAGAAAGAAGCAAGAAGTGCTGGAAGAGTCTGAGACAATGTAAGTACATTTAACGATGCTGAGTGGTTCAGAGTAACAAAGTACAGCAATGTCATGAGTGATGTAAAGAGGAAACTCTGTGGCTGGAGGTGTGGCTCAGTGGCAAAGTATTTGCCTGGCCTGTGAAAGGCCTTGGATCCATCCCCAGCACCACTAAATCAGTCAGAGTCTGGACATGAAAATGTTTGCAATGGTTAAGGAAGGAAGGATTTAAATGCAAAAAGGTCTTTCGGGCTGGGATTTCCTTCCCTTTCTTCTTCTTCCTTCTTTTATCTCTTCCTCCTCCTCCTCTTTCTCCCTCTTCCTCCACAGGATGGGCTCGGTGTATCATGGCTTTTTACCTATCCATGTGAATTTAATCAGTGAAGCTATCATTCTTTTTGATGCACCAGGGTTCCTGCCTCTGGCCTTGCAGACTGTTTATGATGCAGGCCCTCAGTGCCTCCATACCGCCTTCAGTACTGGGTGCATCTTGGTTGCTGGCACATGCTGTACATACTTAGCCCCTGACCTGGAGTCAGCTCTTATTCCAAAGAGCCCTTGGGGGCTCTCTGCTTGGTGTTCCTTTTCCCTGTTGTTTGTTTTGTATGCTGTCTTCCACAGTAATGGCCTTTCTCAGTCCTGGATACCTAGGTCTTACTGATAGGTGGGCTTCTCCCTATTGGTGATCAGGGACCAACCTGGCTTTTCATTGGAAGGGACACCAAATGTCTGTAGCCCTTGGAGGTTTTTTCCCTGAGGCCATTTGGGAAGCAGAGATCAGGAGGATCATGGTTCAAAGCCAGCCCCAGGCAAATAGTTTGGAGACCCAATCTTGAAAAAACCCAACACAGAAATGGGCTGGTGGAGTGGCTCAAGGAGAAGGCCCTGAGTTCAAGCCCCAGTACTGCAAAAAAAGAGAAGGCAAAAGCAAAGCAATAGTGCACACTCTATAGGAGGGTGGGCAGACTCAAGAAGGAGCACTGTGCTGGAGTCCAATGACCTTAAGGTTTTATTGGGGTTTGTAGAGCTGGGGATGGTCAGTTCTGGAATATTGGGTTATGTGTCATTAACTCTGAGGCTGGGCTAGGCATCATGGACTCCTCCCACATGTTGGGCAGAGGGGTGTTGGCCTTGGATGGTCAGACTGAGGCTGTTGTTTTCTGTGGGTTTCTGGGGGCTGTGGGTCAGCAAGACCCACCATTTTGTTAAAGTCAACAGTCCAAGATGTGATTTTCCTTATCAATATCCACGCTCTGGTTCTCCACCATCAGGTTTTCTAACTCCCTGTTTCGTCCTTGTCATTATGAGAGGTCAGCTGAAGAGTTCCAGACAGTGGCCAGGGGAGAAATGACGGGGAACAGAGCTGATGGAGACCAAGTGGCAGTAGAAGTAAAGAGAAGGCGGAAAGCTGGGGCTGAAGAATGATAGACGGCTGCAAAGAGCCAGATGAATTACAGGAAGAGTTCTAGGGAGCTGCTGAACCTTGAGGACCAGGGGTCCCAGACACCTAGGCTTGAGAGCTGTAAGGTAGCTGTGGTAGGAACCCAAGATCCAAACACCTAACGCCCATTTAGGAGCTGTTACACAAGCAGGTGCAGCCTGTTGCTGCTGGAAGCCAAGGGTTACAATAACTGCCAAGTGCCGGGGTTGCTGGTTGTAAAAGCCAGAGCAGTGAGCCTCCATCCTAGGTGTGGAGGGCCATAAGTCTCTGACTTCAAAGCCTGGAACACTGGGCTCTCAGCTCTCAAGACTTGGAGTTGTAAGCTTCTGGATCTTGTATGTAAATAGTTGTCTTATAATTTTATTCAGGGAATAATGACAAGAGTCTATACATACTCAGTACAGAGGCAGTGTTTTGGGGAATACTTTACGTGATTGATTGATCCTGGGGTATGGAGACAGGGTGCATGCCCTCTGAGAGATCCAGAGGAGGGGGCAATCAGCCAGCAGGGTTGGCACTTGAGGATTCTTTTAGATCTCCCCAAAGCCTGTGGGTTTTGTTTTTTTTTTTTGTGGGGGTGTTACAAAGTAAGCCACCACCAGGGGCCGCCACCAACTGATATTTCTTCTTTTTTGTTGTGCTCCGGAGGGGAGCACGGAGCCTCTTGGATGCCAGCAAGTGCTGTGCCACACTGCAGCCACTGCCCACCTGATAACAGGTCCCTCTGGTGGAGGAGCATCCTGGCACACTCCCACTGGTCACCATGCTGTGAGTGTCTGAATTACTGAGAAGGCAGCATATTTGTGAAAGGACCCTTACTTTTCAGAATCAAATACTCTGGGTGGATGAAAGGGAAGGAAGGTGGGAGGGAGAGGTGGGAACATGGGGGATGTCACCTTATTTAGACCCCAGAACAGCCATGCTCATCTAGGAAGTTAGTGTGTCCTTACCAAGAATTTCCTCCTCCCCATGCTGTCACAGAGCTTTTGGGTCAACCAACCATCCTGGTGTGCCTGTGAGCAACTATGGGAGGGCTTACAAGTCTGAGCCAGGCTGGGCTCAAATCCCGCTCAGCTACCTGTCTTTCCAAGCCTCAGTTTCCCCATCTGGAAAATGGGGGAGCAGGAGGATGACAGTGGGACCTACCACCCACGGCTGTGGGGTTGCTCTGAGGAGTATAGTCCATACTAAAAAAAAAATGAGGTTCTTGGAGCACTGCCTGTCACCTTAGTGTTTGCTGAATCCATGTCTCTGCACCAGGACTGTCCCAGGCATAGTGGGGACACAGCCAAGCACTAAGGGTCCTGCCTGCAAGGACCCCAATGCTCACATCCCCAGTCCCTCGTGCTTGGCTCTTCTCGAGTCAGCAGTGGCTTCTCATGACCTTCTGTGGTTCTTTTTTATCTCCATAGCTTTCACCTTGGCTGAATCACGAGTTCCTCTGAACTAGACACAAAGGAAAACATTAAGAATTCATAATTCACTTCCCTGGGCATGGTGGTACACACCTGTAATCCCAACACTCTGGAGGCTGAGGCAGGAGGATCCCAAGCTCCAGGGCAGCCTAGGCAAGACCTTGTCTGAAAACAAAACAAACAAAATACCAACTTTGGAAGTCAGCTACTTTGGAGGCTGAGGAGGAGGATCATTTGAGCTCAGGAGTTCAAGACTGGCCTGGGGGACATTGCAAGGCCTTGTCTTAAAAAATAAATAAATAAAAGAATTCATGATATATAAAATATGTGCATGCAGACCAATAAGTAGAGTTTGGGGTGTAGCTCAGTGGTAGAATGCATGCTTGGCATGCATGAGGCCCTGGGTTTAATCCCCAGCATCGCACACACACACTCTCACACACACATGACAAGCAGTAGAGGGCAGTTTAGACCAGAGTTCACACCAGGAAAGGCAGAGGTGATGAAAAAAACCAAAGGACACTGGGAAGACTTGCCTTGCTGGCTATCAGGGATGTGCAAAGGATGCAGCCTTGCAGTGGCAACATTGTGACAATTAGTGGGCACCAATACTGTGGCCACCTGGCTGTTCATGTTTTCCAGGGTAGGAATTTCTGGGTCCCTGAAAAGCTCTCTGGGAATTCAGGAAAGAGGAGGAAACATGGGGCCCGGTGCTGGTGGCTCACACCTGTATTCTCATCTACTCAGGAGGCAGAGATCAGGAGGATCTCTGTTTGAAGCCAGCCCAGGCACATAGTTCATGAGACCCTATTTTGAAAAAGCCCATCACAAAAAAGGGCTGGTGGAATGGCTCAAGAGGTAGAGCACGTGCCTTACAAGCATGAGGTCCAGAGTTCAAACCCCAACGATGCCCAAAAATAAATAAAAAAGCCAGAAGCTAGCAGGGCACAGCCAAGAGGGAGTGGTGGTTAGTGGCCACAGGCTGTGTACCAGGCCAGGAAGCAGTGGACAGGACAAATCCAGGAGATGTCTAGCCTCCTGGGCATCTAGGAAATTCATATGGCAGTGTCCCACCTATAGAATGGCTAAGTTTTGGAATGCATTATTCAGAATTTAGGACTCCCCGACCCATGGGGTTTCTTGGGCTAAAGCAGCTATTCTCAAACATTTTGCTCTCAAGACCCCTTTGTACTTTTTATCTTTAGAGACAGGGTCTCACTATGTAGCCCAGGCTGGCCTCAAATTCTCCATCCTCTTGCCTCAGTCTCTGGAGTGGTGGGATTACAGGTGTGCACCACATGTCTGGCTTCATCGTCATTTTTTTAACACTCTTAAACATGTTTTTATGGTGCTGGGAATTGAACCCAGAGTCTTGTGAATGCTAAACATGCACTCTATCACTGACTTATACCCCCAGCCTTCTTAAAAAATTTTGAGACCAGAGAGCTTTTGTTTATGTGAGTTATTTCTCCCAAGTAGTTACAGTGTGTGAAAATAAATTGAGAAACAATTTAAAAGTATTTATGTATTGATGTATTTACAATTGTAGCAATAACCTCAAGACATTTTAATAAAAGTAGTTATGGTCTAAAACAAAACACAATAGTGAGAAATGTGACTGGTAGTCTAGGGACATTGTGTACACAGGTGTACAATGAAGCCTGTTTGTGAAACACGTTGGCCCAACAGAGGACAAATACGTCCAATAAGGAAATGCTAGAAAAAAAAAAAAAAGGAAATGCTGACGGCGGGAGCTCTCTGAAGCCAACACAGGTGATCTATAAATGGCACGCTGGGAAAAAAACCAGTTTCAGAAGAAACAAGAAGCATGAAACCACTTACAAATTCACCTGACACAGACAGTATTTTGCTGGGTACATGTACATATTGCAGAGGTGACCTCTACCAGAACAGGGAGTGGGTGAGCTATTTAAATTTTTTCCCAAAAGAATTTATTCAAGTATTGGTTGTGCAATGGCCTTTTTCCCCCCGGTGCTGTCTGTTGAACCTGAGGCTTATGCATCATGCAGGTACAGTGAAAGTATGTTTGGAGGCTTCTCTCACCTGGAAGTGTATCTGGAGTGCCCAAGTCATGTGGGTGTGGTGTCAGACAGGCTCCCTGTCTGTGCCCCAGCCTGTGTGCCTTGGGAGGGGAGGAAGAACAGGCTGCCAGGGGCCCAGTTTACTAGGTGACATTCCAGATGATGGCCTGCACATGGCTCGTCAAATTTCATGTGTTGGAAACTTGGACCCCGGTGTCTCAGTGTGGAGAGGTGGGAACCACCTGTGGAAGGTGGTTGGGTTTGGCGGGGTCCGCCCTGGTGAGGGTGGACGAATGGGTCCTAGATGGAGTGGCTTTGCTGTAAAATTGAGCCCTCTCTATGATGCGGCAAGAAGCCCTTGCCAGATAACAAACCGACGCTGGCGCCGTGCTCTTGGACTTCCCATATTCCCAACTGCGAGTTGAGTAAACCTCTGTTCTTTATCGGTTGCCAAGGCTAGGGTATTTTATTATAACAGTAGGAAATGGTGGTGCCCTCCTACCCGCAGGCCCTCCCTTGCTGTCACTGGAGCACATGGGGCTCTGCTCAGCCACGTGGAAGTATTTTAACAGCTGGTACTAGAGTTCCTCAGAGGGAGAGAGTTGTCTCATGTGAAGAATTTGATGACCGTTGATGATTTGATGATTTGTTTGGGCAGGAGGAGACTCAGAGTTTGGGGACGGCTGGAGTCAGCGTTTGGAGGAAAGTTGTTTTCCCTGGAAAAGGGGGGGACTTGGCTGCTTTGTACTGGAGAGGAGGGTAGAAAGGAAGAAGAAAGGACACGGGGAGAGAAACAAGGTGAGCCTGGGAAGGCTGCACCATGACCAGGATGGAGCGGGCCGATGCCATGTGGGGAAAGATGGTGCATGTTCAAGGCGTTTCTTCCTGGAGGTAACCCCACACCCGGCATCTTCAGTACACCTCACTGCTGTGCTGAGGGTAAGTGTTCCATCTGGTGCATGTGAGAGAAGACCCTTGAGGCTGTGAGAGCCAGTCCCAGGACCCAGCTCAGGTCATCCAGAGATTGTGGAATTGGGGCGACTGGGTGGGGAACTTAAACTTGTATCTGGTTAAAACAAATAAACCTAGCTTTTAAGAAGGAGCCACACTCGGGGTGAGGACAAAGTCACATCTTTGAGCTTGCACAAAATGACTAAGCAGGGGCTTGCTTTACCTGAGCAGGGCTGGTGGGTCTGCGGTGCTGCCTTAGGCCTGGCCTCCTGGCCTGTGGTCACTCTGGGGTGTGGGGTTCAGTCCATGGACTCTAAGAAGGCACACAGAAGGCCAGCCAGCAGAGCCAGGCCCAGCAGAGCCACAGCCAGCAGTGCCACATCCCACCACATCCCCGGGTAGGCCCAGGATGCTGGCAGCTGCCAGCCACAGTTGCCCAGCTCGTAGCCTGTCAGCTGGCCCAGAGGGCGGAGGGTGGCGAGGTTGGGGCTAGCACAGTGGATGTGCTGGAGGGTCTCTGGCATGTGGTCCTCCAGCCAAAGGCGCAGATAGGTGAGGCTGCAATCGCAATGCCAGGGGTTCTGTGTCATGTCCAGGCTCCACAGCTGGGGCAGGTGGTCAAAGGCGCCTGGGGGCACGGAGTGCAGGCTGTTGTTGGCCAGCAGGAGTTGGCGAGTGTGGACTGGCAGGGCAGGCAGGGCTGTGAGCCCCCGCCCCTCGCAGTCCACTCTCAGCCCCATGGTTTCCAAGGCCTGGCAGGTGCACGGTGCAGGACAGGACTGGGTGGCTTGTGCCACGGCCCAGAGCAGGAACAGGAGTCCCCAGGCTGGCATCAGGTAGGTGGTCTGTGGGAGAGCAGCATGAGGAGGGCCTGGCAGCCTGTGCCCCACCCCAGACCCAGGCGTCTCTCCCTCAGGCCTCGGTGCTATTCTCTGTGAAACAGGGTGGTGACTGAAGTGGTGGGGGTGCCCAACCCAGGTAGAAGGCAGGACAGTGAGGTAGCTATGGTGAGGAAGGAAGGGTCCTTTCCCTAGCAGAGATTCAGCTGCTGCTTGAGTCAGGGTGGGGCAGAAGACAGCTAAGTGATTTTCCTGGCCCACAGAGGCTGGCAAGGGTTTCCCAGATACACCCAGCCTGGGGTTAGGCCAGTGGAGTGTACTCCTCAGATCACCTGGTGCCATTAATTCTCTCGCTTGGCCATGCTTGTGCCACACACAGAAAGCCACAGTGGAGATATGCCTGAAGCGGTAGGGGTAGGAGGCCTGAAGGCCCTCTGGAAAGGTACTCGCCCAGGGTAATGCTTGCCAGGGCTCGGAGAGCTTGATGGGAAGGCTCAGAGAGGGAAAGCAGCTTGCCCAGGTCGCCAGCCGCCATGTCAGAGACCAGATCCATGCAAATGTCTCATGAGCTGACCCACAACATCCCAGCTGCTGCTGTTCTGCTCCCTTCTATCCAGGACTGAAAATGTGGGTGGGTGGGGGAACTGGTTCCCCTTCTCAAGCACTTCTCCCCCCCAGGGCCCAGTCCAGAACAAGCTTCAGTAAGAATGCATTGAATCCAGCAATGAATCTTGACTCAGTCAAGGAGCCATGGTCTTACAGAAAATGTCTCCCACCCCCCTACCGCCACCTGCTACTGGGGAATGGATGAAGGAGCAAGGGTGGCTTCTCTGTCCCTGTCAGCCCAGTTGGAGCTGCAGAGCGGGAGGCTGTGCTGGGTAACAGAGAGGCCACTTACCTGTAGGGTCATAGTTGGGGACCCCTTTCTGTGGCCTGCTCCCTCCTGGCTGAGGCTGTGGTGGCAGCACGATGGGAGCCGATGGTGGCTGGTGTTTGAGTGGAGGAAGGAAGTGATGAAAATAGCCTGGCTTATCTCCAAGTGCAGCCCTGAGGCCTAGCTCCAGAGGTGGGAGGCACAGAACTCCCAGGCTGTGCAAGGGTCTCCCACTGCACCTCCAGCGCCAGTGCGCTTCTGTGGCAGGTCTGTGGGTGAGAAGGTGGAGAAGTCTTTTTAGAGAGGAGGAGACTCCTGAGATAAGTGACTACTGTCTGTTGTTCTGACTCAGTTTTCCTCAGTTGTAGAATGGGAGCAGTAACCCTGTACTGCTGTCATCCCTCAGGTGTGGGTTGGGAGATCCTACCAGACAAGAATTTTGAGGAGGGAAGTGACTCTCCATGAGTGAATTGTGTCAGAAACATAGACACCCATCTCTTCCCACACTGTCAGAATTTATTGGTTAACTATGAATCTAGAAGCTTCATCAATTTTCTTGGTTTTAATTTGCCGAGTTCTACCGATGTTGCTTGACGGCCTATGCTGTTGACAACACAGGTTTTTTATTTCAATCTTAGGTACTCCTATTTACTCTCAGATCACACATTGCACTCCACACAACCGTATACACACACATATGTACACATATGTAACAGAATGGCGGAGACGTGTTCACAGAGGCTGCAGAGCTCTGGGGACCATGCTGGAGGCCAGGCTGATAAAAGCACAAGGAGACGTCTCTGTCAGGACCCGATAAGACGTTCTGGGAACCGCAGGCAGGCGCTTGGCCGTGCAGGGTGCTGAGTTGTCACAGGCAGGTCTGGGTGTCAGTGTCAGCAGAAGCGGGCTGTGTCACAGGCAGGAAAAACTGCACTGGAGCTGGAGCAGGGGACAAGGGCACAGGTCGGCACAGATCCTTCACTTGGAGGTTTTCCAGGATGGGGCTCATGACAGGTGACCGGGTGGTGTGCCTGTCACATCTCAGTCTTGGAGTGCTCCTCCTTTTATAGTCCCACGTGAGGGGAGTACATGTGCAGTGATTGACCAGTTCATGTGTCTGGGTTTCTGACATGATTTGATGTACTCACAGGTGTCATTGTTTATTGGCACAAAAAATTATTGGTTTGCGCCTCACAGTGTGCTGGCAGGTGGTGGCTGTTATGTGTATGAAGTACGTAGAGTTGTTCTGTTTGGCGTTTATTCTCAAAATGGAGTAGGTTAGGTCAAAACTGTTGCTTCACAGAGTGGAGTAAGTCAAGGCTACACACGGCCTAAAGCTGCTGGTCCCCACGACGCAGAGTAAGCCAGAGCAGGCAGGCCTGGGCCTCCATCCTTCTATTGACACTTCCCTAGTGGCTGGGGTGACAGGCATGTACCACTGTGCCCAGCTGTTTATTGGCTGAGATGGGGGTTTCACTGTTTCCTTGGCTCACCTCGAACCATGATCCTCCTAATCTCTGCCTCCTGAGTAGCTAGGATTACAGGCGCGAGTCAGCAAGCCTGGCATTTTGTAATTTTTTTTAGTTTTGATTTTATGGGTTCTAGTCTGATTTTATTTCTTTTTGTATACTAGTTTTGGGTTTAATTTGTTCTCTTCTAAGTCCTTGATGTGCATTGTTAAGTTATTTGAGTTCTATTTTTTTTGATGTATGCATTTATTGCTAAACTTCCCTCCCAGTACTGCTTTTGCTGTAGCCTGCAGATTTTGGGTTGTTCTGTTGTTGTTTTCACAAATTTTTCCTTTTATCCGTTAATTTCTTCAGTTACCCATTTGTTACTTATCATGTTATTCAGTTTCCATGTATCTGCATACTTTTTGTTCTTCTTTTTCTTATAGATTTATACTTTTATTCTATTGCAGTTTGAGAAAATATGTGACATGATTTAAGTTTTTAAAAATCTTATTTTATGTAAAGGACAAGCATGACCAACCAGGAAGCTTCAGGTCAGGACAAAATGACAGGCGAAGAGGGAATGGCAGAAGACAGCCAAAGAGAACCTGTTGAGGAATTTGATTTTTGTTTTGAAGACATGAGGGGGTCACAGAAGGATGCTGAGTGGAGGAATGACAAGGTCAAACTATCAGAGCCACAGGAACACATCAGAGTCCAGGATCCAACTGTGCAGGTGAGGTGGCCAGCTAAGCTGACAGGTCTGGGGCTGGGGTGGGGACATACAGCAGAGCTGACAAAATTGTTCATCAAGCACTTGTCTAGTACACATGAGGCCCCATTCCATCCCAGCACTGAAAAAAAGGTGATAATAATAATACTGATGCCTACATGTTGGGATTAAACATTTACTGGAACAGGATCCCTGTCCTCTTGAAGCTCACATTTGGTGGAAGGAACCATTTAATAACACGTGCAGAGGACAGGAGAGCTGAGCTGCATTAGTTGAGGCCATTTGAACTGAGACATGAATGATGACCAGGAGGAAGCCATGTGTGGATCTGATGAAGGGTGCTCCAGGCAGAAGAAACAGCAGGTGCAAAGACCCCAAGGCAGGAAGATGCTGGAGTTTTTGGGGAACAGAAGGAAAGGCAGTGAGCTGGAGGTTAGTAAGTGAAAAGGAGATTGGGTTATACGGTTAAGAAATGGACATGGCTAGATACTGGTGGCTCACGACTGTGGAGGCAGAGATCAGAAGGGTCATGGTTCAAAGCCAATCCGGGAAAATAGTTTATGAGATTCTATCTTGAAAATAACAAAACACAAAAAAGGGCTGGTAGAGTGGCTCCAGTAGTAGAGTGCCTGCCTAGCAAGCATGAGGTCCTGAATTCAAACCACAGTACCACAAAAAAAGAAAGAAAGAAAGAAATGGACAGGAGATGCCCAGTATGCATGAAGCCCTGGGTTCAATCCCAACACCACAGAAAAAAAAGTAAGGAAAGAAAGAAAAGAAATGAGTCAGAGAAAGGATTTAAAAAACTGGTAAGACCCAACTACATGCTTCTTACATGAAATTCACTTCACTGATAAAGATACACACTGACCAAAAGTGAAGGGTTAGAAAAAGATGTACCATGCAAATGAAAACCAAATGCAAAGAAGAGATAAAGCAGACTTTAAATCAAAACTGTAAAAACGAGCTGGGCATGGTGGTACATACTTGTAATCCCAGCATCTGGAAGTCTGAACCAGGTGGATCACAAGTTCAGGGCCAGCCAGGATTACATAGAAATACCTGTCTCAAAAAGAAAAACTGTAAAAAGAGACAAAGAATGTCATTATCATTTTATGAAAGGATCAATTCGGCAAGAAGATGTAACAATTGTAAATATACGTGCAGCCAACGTGGAACCACGTTTTCTGAGATAAAGCAAATCTCAGTAGATCTAAAGGCAGAGATAAACCCTAATATAAAGATAGTTGTGGCTGGGTGCTGGTGGCTCAGGCCTGTAATCCGAGCTACTCAGGAGGCAGAGATCAGGAAGATCGCAGTTCTAATCTAGCACGAAGCAAATAGTTCGTGAGACCCTAGCTCCAGAACACCCAACACAAAACATGGCTGGTAGAGTGTCTCAAGGTGTAGGCCCTGAGTTCAAACCCCAGTACTGCAAAAAAAAAAAAAAAAATGGGACTGTGTTAATCATACTTTTGCATCACTGTGAAAAATATTTAGCATAAACAACTTAAAGGGAGGACTTATTTCTTTTAGCTCAGTCCATCTTGTCAAGCAGGTGCAACAGAGCAGAGATGCTTACACCATGGCAACCAGGAAGAAGGGTAGGGCTGCAACAGGAAGGGGTGTGGCTAAGAACACCTTGACCTTCTTTCTGCAAGCAGGCCCTGCCTTCTATGGTTCCACCTCTTCCCAGTAGTCTATTCCGATTTGGAACCCATCAATGGATTAATCCATCCATTAGATCAGAGTCCTCATGGTCTGGTTTCATCTGGAAAAACCTCACAGACATGCCCAGCAGTGTGCTTTAGTAATCTCCAAGGCATTTCTCAAGCCAGTCCAGGTGACAATTAAGATTAACCATCACGGGGACTTCAATACCATACTTTCCTCAAGGGTCAGATCATCCAGACAGAAGATTAACATTCTTCTCGTTGGCACATGGAACCCTGTTCAAAATAGCCCATGTGAAGACACAAATCAAGGCTCAATAAAGTTTAGAAACAGGAAAGAATGCCATGTAAAGATGTGTGGTAGAACACATCTGTAATCCCCGGTTCCTTGTGAGGAAGATGGAGGATTGCAAGTTCTAGGCCAGCCAGGGATAATGGTGAGAGCATGTCTCAAAAAAAAAAAAAAGAAATAAAGAATAAGATTTTTTCCCTCTTTTTTTTTTATTGTTGTGCTGGATGGGGGTACATTGTGGCATTTACAAAGTTCTCACAATATATCAAATATATCATACTTGAATTCACCCCCACCACCACTCTCCTGCCTCAGTTCTGAATCTGTAAAATGGGGGAAATCAGAGAAATACATACATTAAAAAAAGAGGCAATTCTAAAAAAAAGGAAGCAGGTGATGGGAAGGAATGGTAAGGGACGTGCTAATGAGTTGAACTTTTTTTTCAATATATGGAATGCTTCACAAATTTGTGTTTCATCCTTATGTGGGGCCCATCCTAACGTTCTCTGTGTCACTCCAATTTTAGTGTCTGTGCTGCAGGAGGGGCACTAATGAGTGGAGCTGGAGCTCTCAACCCACCTCAGGCCTGGCAGCAGTTTCATCCAGTGAGTGTTTGCCCCCGTGTGACAACAGTGTGGGATTACGGGGTGTTTTTGGTGAGTGGGTCATCATTCGTGTCTACAGAAGGTCAACAGAGTATTTTTTGTTAGAAGGTGAGAGGAGAGGGCATTAGAATTTCCCAGAAAGCATTTTTAACGAGTTGTAGGCCATTTGAATAATTGCAAAGAAAACCACAAGAGCAGTAGGCGGGAAGTCTGCTCAGAAATGCTCAATTCTACTTTTCCTGAACCCGTAGGAGTGTTGTCCACTTGCTCCTCCTCCTCTGCCCAGGCTGGCTTCACTGCATTGTGTTGCACAGCCTCTCCACTTAGAAG